AAGGCACTCCAGCCCCCCTGCCGGGCCTACCCACTTCCCGGGTCTCCTTCTGCACAAGCCAGCGGTACTATCTCCAATAAAGAATGCACGCAGACTATGCGTTTACCTGAACCACCATCGCAGAAAACAATTATATATATATGTATGTATGTATATATATATATATATATATATATATATATATATATATATATATATATATGTGTGTGTGTGTGTGTGTGTGTGTGTGTGTGTGTGTGTGTGTATATATATATATATATATATATATATATATATATATATATATATATATATATATATATATATATACATGTAATGGTTAAAAGCAAAATAAATGTGCTAGACATCTAAGGTCATGTAGCACTATAGTAAATGTTAGTAAAGGGTGGTGAAGTTAGTGATTAATTGTCAAAGCTGGGCAAAGGAATTGGTGAGTGAATGGGTTAAGGTCGGGTGAGGTAATGTAAAGGGGTTAGATTAAGTGAGGGATATTTATGCGTTTGAGAGGAACAGGTTGTCGAAGTAGAATAGGTTGGGAGGTCGATGAAGGGATAGGTGGGGGGAAGCAGAGGTACAGGCTGCTTCAAAACGTGGGCATGGCAATAGAATGTGCTGGACTGAAAGATGAATTACAAAGGGAGCATAGGGGTGGATCGGTTTGTGACATCAGATAGGAGTGTGTTAGACGGGTGTGAAAGGGGATACTTGTGATATAAGGGATTCACGTGTGTATCCATGAGGGAGTGGAAGGGATAGAGGGGATGGTGGGAGGCACAGTTGGCACATGTGCGTGATTGTGCAGAGCACTTTGATCGAGTATGGCCAGGTTGGGCACATAGTGGGCATCTGGCTGTGGAACGGCAATGTTTGGCTGGGTGTCCTAAACGCCAACAATTTTGGCACTGACGAGGAGGAGGTTGGTATGGTCGGACAGGGAGGGATTCTCCACCTGTGTAAACATTAAATGGAAGGTCATGTCTATGGGAAGTAATTTTGGCGATGTTAATGGGTTTCTTACAATGACATCTGGGGGGGATGGAGTAGCATTGTACTGATGTTGCATCGTAGTCTGTGAGACAGGCAAGTAGATCTTCTCCACAATCTGACCAATCTTTGTCATAGATTGGGCAATTTGCTGGTGAGATTGAGACTGTTCCGGTGCAAGTATTGAGGGTTGGATGGGGTTCTGCAAGGATAGGGTTACCATATAGATCAGTTAGTTTTGCTAATGATATAGCTTGGTTTTCGGATGTTACTGTGACGAGACGGGAGCGGTCGGGTCGGCTACAGAAGGAGACTTTGCCTACTTGTTGTTGGAGACATTGCTGGAAGAGAAGGGTGTTGTCAGAGTAAGGAGCTGTGGGAGGGATCACAAAAAATCGGTCCCATTTGGCTGGGCTAAATAGAGTATTTAAGATTGTTGTAGAGATAGGGGTAGTAGAAGGGCGGGGGCGTGTCAAAAAGGGAGTAGTGTTGAGGGAGGTAGTGTTATGGAGAGGTGGGCAATAAGGCTGTAAGGTATTAATAAGGGAGGATGGGGTAGTTGATGTAGAAGGTTGTGGGGGTAGAGGTGTTGAGCATGATGGGAGAGTAGGAATGTCTCTAGGGGGTTGAGTGTTGACTACTGTACTAGTAGGCATTAAATAGGGGGTAGTTGTTGCAGTGTTCGGAGCCGTGGTTAAAGGAGAGCCTGGGATCAGGGAATCCGGAGGATTTGAATTGCTGGGGCTATTTGATGAAGGGGCAAGCCACATTGCCCCTAATAGTGGAATTACATTTTCATTATTAGCCATGGTAAGCCTGGAGTATGTTGGGGAGAGAAACAGTCCACCCCTCAGGGTCCCCTTGAGGGGTAAGGGCTAGGCCTAAGCAAGGGGAATACCGTGCCCATGGCTCCCTCAGGCCGTTCAGGACTGGCACAAAGTCAGCCTTTCATCCTTTCAGCACGGCTCTCACACCTTAGGAGGTGGATAGTAGAAGGGATTGGTGAAGGGACAGAAACGAAAAGTAGGAAGGGAAAAAAAAACATGCAAAATTAGTTGAGTCGAGGGCTGAGTCCCAAGGTTGGGGAGTTCCCCATCATTGGGTCTCAGTCTCCGCCTCCTAAGCCCCCCCACAACAACAACGGGCAAGGGATTGGGGGGATATATATATGTATATATGTATATATATATATATATATATATATATATATATATATATATATATATATATATATGTGTGTGTGTGTGTGTGTGTGTGTGTGTTGTGTGTGTGTGTGTGTGTGTTTCTGTATGTGTGTGTGTGTGTGTGTGTGTTTCTGTATGTGTGTGTGTGTGTGTTAGAAAAAAAAACACAATGCACGAACTAGATTTATTGAAAATGAGACATATTCCATCTTCAGGTCTGAATGGGAAGGGGAGAAGAGAGAGTATAAGGGAGAGAAAGGAGAGGCAACGTGGTGAGCAAGAGGTAGGTGAGGACAGGTGAACGAAAGCGTAGGGAAGAAGGCGGAGGATAT